GAATGGCCGTGAGAACAGTCATCTCAGTCAGACACTGCTGTGAATGCAGGCTCCGCAACATCAGAGAGGGCACTGGAAAGGGCAGCCTTTTCAATGCAATGCCTGCCAAGTGCTATTCAGATGCAGTGAAACATCAGAACATCCATTCCCGAGAGAAGCCGTCCCAGCAGCGATTGTGGGAAAGCCTTAATCCACAGCTTGCATATCGTTAGGCACCAGAGGATCCACAACGAGGAGAAACCCTATCTTTGTAAGGACTGTAGGAAAGCCTTCACCCAAAGCTTCAACCTTATTAAACATGAGAGAATACACATGGGAGAAAAACCATACAAATGTACTAAATGTGGCAAGTCCTTCAGCCAGAGTTCAGATGCTATCAAGCATCAGAGAATTCACACTGGAGAGAGACTCTATGAAGGTAATGGATGTGGGAAGACCTTCATTCACAAGTCAAATATTGTTGAGCACCTGAGAATTCACCATGGAGAGAATCCCTATAAATGTAAAGAATGTGGGAAGGCCTTCAGCTAAAGCTCCATCCTCATCCAGCACCACATAATCCACACTGGGAAGAGGCTCTATGACTGCCAGGACTGTGGGCACGCGTTCAACCGCAGACCCTTAGCAAGCACTGGAGGATCCACATCAGGGAGAAGCCCTACAAGTGCAGTGACTGTGGGTGCACCTTCCAGGCTCTGTGGGGCTCCTTCCGGCATCAGTGGATCCGCACCATGGAGAAGCACTTCCGCTGCACTGAGTGCAGCAAGGCCTTCTGTGTGAGCTTTCATCTGGTACAGCACCAGAGGTGCATGGCACAGAGAGAGCCTGTGGTGGGGTGAATGTGGTGCAGAAAACATGTGTGAACAAGACTGGAGGAGGTGGGTGTAACCCCCATTAAAATTTTGCCCAGAAGTAGGTTTGTATCTTCATTCCTTGTGCAGTAAGGAAAATAAGAAAGCTGTCTTGGTGGTTCAAAATAAAACAAATGTTTTAAGTCTATCTTTTCTTAAAAAGGCTTACAACCAGAAATCTGAGCTTTCCGTATTGTAACAAGTAGAAAAGTAGGTCAAGAAATTGAGTCTCAGAATGCCACAGATTTTTGCATTTATTCACTTTTCAGCTTGTCTTTATTAAGGACCTACCACATGCTAGGCACTAGTTTAGCTATTGGGGATAAAGCAGTAAACCAGAGAGAGGAAGGCAGTCACCAAGGATGGTATGGGTTTGCCCTCATGAAGCTTACTTTCTGATGCAGATTTTCTTCAAACACCTTAAAATGAACTGTATTGTATTAGGCCAAGAATAAGCAAATAGATTAATGAAGCTAAAGAGAGTCCAAAAATATACCCTATGTGTGTATGTGTGTATATACTCAGTGTATGAAAATGTGACATTTCAAATTGTTTCTCTCATGTCTATTCATGATTAGTTACCTCAGGAATTTATGAGTGCTATGTGCATTTGTTCTTTTTTCACCAGTCTATAACCTCATCTAACTTAAAAAAATTTAGATTCCGGGCCAGCCCGGTGGCGCACTGCTACAGTGTGCCGCTTGGGAGCATGGTGG